TTTCCTACAATTATTAGATGGCATGGCATGCTGAGTGCACTTAATTGTGCTCACAAACCATTCACGTGGCCTCCGTTTCCCATGTGATTAAAGTTATATACTTATATACCATCTCTATACATGTATTTGTTTTATTTAAGATCATTTATCGTTTATATTTATATTAAGAGCTGTAATGCTCTCCAGAATCTGACAGATTGATTAGCTGTAGGCTCTAGAACAGTCATCTGAAGCGTTGTCATACAGTGTTATGGTGGATTTCATCAATAGTCTTACAGTAACTAACACAGACTATATCTGAATTGTTTGGAAGTAATTAACGTTTTCCTCCTGTTGAAAAACGTCATAAGAACAATGTTTAGTGGCTCAATGAATTACAGCAGTGTTTTTAAAAGTCTAAACACTTTATTGATATAGTGTACAACCAATCACAAGTGGTCAGAATACAAACGAGTCACAGGTGATAAAGTATTAAGCGTTCTCCCAAAGTAAAGTGTGTCTGAGCCAGGTCCAAGCTAAATGCCTGCAGGTGTCTGTAGCTCCGCTCACTCTCCGGCTCTTTGCCCTTGTTTGGTATCCTGCCGTGGGTGTGATGACGCGCAAACAAAATGGCGACGGTTGGCCGCACCTACTTGTGGCTTCTTTTGCGCTCTTTAGAAACCTATGGGTGACGTCACGGATACTACGTCCATATATTTTAGTCTATGGTCATTACCAATGGACTGTCACTTTAATTTGCGCTGCTTCTGCGTGCAGTATGAAAGCTCTAATCTGTTAACATGGACGCCGAAAAAACACCCGCTACACACGCTCTGCTCATGCGCTGCTTGCCCTTGCGGTGTAAAACAGGCTTAACAGTATACAGGTATAGAAATTAGTAATTGTGTAAATACAATTCATCTATGTTAAAGCTACAAACTTAATAATTCCTTGTGCCCAAATGCTTTAAACATGCTTACACATGCCTTAAAAACACAAGCAACAGATAAATGGTCCCTTTATTATGGTTAAACTGTAATGACTTCATATTTCTCATGTGTTCTGCACGGTTGTACATGGTCAACTATAATCCGGACTCCACATTGCACATCCTGCAGTGTGACTAATGCATATTCACACATGATATCGATGCTGAGATGACATTGTTCACTGCATCCCTAACACAAAGACAATGGATGCTACTGATAGAATGGTGTTTTTGAGTGGCTGCTGCTGGATATTTAAATAACGTATGTTTGGCATCTCGTGATGCAAATCCAATGAAGCTGATTGTGACTATTCTCTCTGACCAATCAGTGATCAGCACGTTTTGACAACATATGTCTTGCTTGAAACTTTAACCGAGGTGGAATTTTAAAAAGTACCAGATACTAGGTATGTAATGCCGTGTAAAAGTCCCCAAATGTAAGCCGTACAGAATTGAATTCAACAGCAACCATGCTGTATACCATGTAGGCATGAGGTGATCACTGTTTTCAAGGTATACCATGGTTTTGAAATTTAAGGTTTTAATGCCGCCCAACTGTATCTCCATATATATATATATATATATATATATATATATATATATATATATATATATATATATATATATATATATTGTTTTAAATTGTAGAGAAATCTGTGTTTTTAATACTAATGAAGACAGCAGAAGTCAATGATTCATTTGAATTATTTAGCCTGACATGTTTACTGCTCCAAAATATTATAAATGTTTTTAAAAAATATAGAGTATATTGTTTTCAAAGAGGGAAAAAGTTTTTGTTTTTTACTTAGACATTTAAAAAGAATATATTTTAGAGGAGTGAGCATAATACTGTGACCCCGTGAAACCGTGATATTTTTATCCAAGGTTATCCTATTCACCTTATTCTCCACCGACGGGTGGGCGCTGCCATTTGAATCTTTTTGGCTTGAGACTTCCGGTCTCATTCACTTCCATTCATTTTTTGATGTTAAAAACTGCTCATTACGCTGTTTGATGTTGCAATTCGATATTTTCTTAATATATTATTCTACTTGGTCTGTATAGTCATGCAAACATTTGTTTGTAGAGCAAGTAGTTTGACCGTTTTCTGACATTTATTATTCCTAGTCATTTCTCCCATAGGCGACTGAATCGGAAGTTCTAAGACAATCGCGAAAACAGGCTCACTTCCGCATTTTAGAATAAAGTCAATACCGTCAGAATCTTTGACCGGCCCATGCCTAATACCATGTAGTTGAAAAGTGCCTTGATGCTTTTTTTGAATACCTATGTCGGAATTGGTTTTAACATGTCATCTATGTAAAAAAGACTTTTACAAGAGTTCACACTCAGCCCATGATTTATAAAAGCTTGTTTGGTATGCTGTCCCAGGAGAGAGTCCTGAGTTCAAGCGATCCTCGAGTCCAGGGCTCCCTTCCTTTGCGGGGCGAGGGGAGATTGAGCTCAGGACGATCTCAAAACTCTTAGGTTGAGACTTAGGTTTGTTTTTTTTTGTCTATTATATAGAGCATATTTGGACGGTGGGAGGAAACCGAGGAACCCGGGGGAAACCCATGCGGACACGGGGAGAATGTGCAAACACACAGAAATACTAGATGGTCCAGCGAGGTGCCGGAGCCATTGGAATTCTTGCTGTGAGGCAACAGTGCTAGTCACTGGGCCACCGTGCCACCCATTTTAGATAAAGGGGGAAGAAAGGGAGGAGGGGGGTTTCTTTCAGACAAAGATAGTTTTAAAAAGAAAACATGAGAATATATAGAGAAACTTAGGATCCTTTGATTGGAGAATCGCGATTAGCTAATATGTGCCAGCTGGGTCAATCATGAACTTCACTTAAATCCTGTCCAAAAGCTTTCAATGGCAGTGTATAAGTAGGCAACTTCAATCTTGAAAAATAATAGTGCTAAGAAGAACAAAAACGAAAGGTTTACAAGGTTATGCCATAGAAGAACCTTTGCGTTCCCTATGCAACAAAAGAACTTTTAGTGAAAACAATTTTATTTAAGGTGCACCGTGGTTTGGAAAAGTCATGGTTTTTAAACCACCAAATTTTTTAAGGACAACAATATCTCCAGCAGAAAAGATATTCAACGATTTTGTTTTAAATTGTAAAAAAATCAGTGTTTTTAAAACTAATGAAGACAGCAGAAGTCAATGATACATCTGAATTATTTAGCCTGACATGTTTACTGCTCAAAAATATTATAAATGTTTCTCAAAATAAAATATTTTGAGTTCAAAGAGGAAAAAAAGTTTTTGTTTTTTTACCCAGACATTTAAAAAGAATAAATTTTAGAGCAGTAATCACAACACCGTCCAACCGTGATATTTTTATCCAAGATTATCATACCGTCAGAATCTCATACCGGCTCACGCCTAATAGCTAATGACAATTTTATTAACAACTTTCAATTTAGTTTGAATCAAAAGATTTACAAACTTTTACTGGCACTATTTAGACATATTAATGGTTGATTTCTGCTATAGTATTTTAGACACAATTGTATACATAAAAAAAAAATGCCAATGTAAATTACAAATCACAAAAAAGTCATGCATTAAAAGGAAAAAATGCCCCAGATTGAGCGTGGAAAACCTTCTGAAATTTTCATCACATAAGTTATTTTCTCTTCTGCTAACTAAATACAGACAGTGGCATAAGCCATTAGCCAAAGTCAATCAAGGTTTCTCTCCTCTCTACTGTATATTTATAATTGTTTTGTTCTTATAAATGCTTCTATAGTTTGATATTTGTAAAGGGTTAGTTCACCCAAAAATTTTAAATCAATTTTAAAATTGAAACTAAAGTGGTTCTAAACTTCATGAATTTCTTTCTTCTATTTACAAAAAATAAGATATTGTGAAGAATGTTGGAAAAAAGCAGCCATTGATGTCCTATTCCATAAACGCAAAGGAAGTCAGAAGTCAGTATATTCTTCTTCACACACATTGAGGATGAGTATATAATGGCAGAATTTAAATTTGTATTTGAACTATCCACTTCCTTTTTTTCATACTTTTTTTGTCGTCATCATAATTGTGATGTGCCTTCCTCTGTTCTTAGAAAGAAAGAAATGTAGGTCATGGATACAGGGTTGGATGTCACACCCTTGATGACCTCTGTGTTTAGATGAGTTTGCAGTCTGCACAGATCATTCAAGTCTTTCAGTTTGAGTAAACTGAGAGATTATTAAACTTTAGAAGATCTGTTTTTTCTCATTTAAGTTATTGTGCAATTTTAGATGTGAGATAGCTCACCCTGAATTTAAAATGTACTCAACCTCAAGTGTTTCTAAACATAAATGAAGTTTTATTTCATTCTGTTGAACAGAAAAGAAGATATTTTAAAGAATGCTGGAAACCTATAACCATTGACTTCCATAGTCGGAAAAATAAATACTATGGATGTCAACGGTTACATGTTTCCAACTTTCTTCAAAATATCTTCTTTTGTGTTCAACAGAAGAAAGAAATTCCTAAACGTTCAGAACAAGTAAAAGGAAATGTCAGTTTTAGGAGAACTAGTCCTTTAAGAAGCAACACCAAGTAATGCAATTGTTGTTCTACTAGGCTTTTATACAGTCTCTCAGCTGTGCCACGACTTCAGTGCAGTGGTCAGACGTGTCGCCCCCTTTCTCTCAGTGTGTGTCAGTGACCCAGATGTGAAACAGCATGATTGACACACTTCAGATTCCAATCATTTACTATTAAATGCCATGAGAAATCAGCTTTAATATAAGGCTTTAAAGGTCAGTCGCATTTGCATTGCATTTTGTAATATATAAAAATCACAAACAACACATAAGAGTTTCCAAAAAGATTAATGTAAGAGCTTTAATTTACGTCATAATACGCATTTTAATTAGTTTTCAGAAAAAAAAACATTATTTAATTGGTATCAATTACTGCTGCATTAAATGTGATTTCTATTCAAATATGGCCTTTGCAGAATAATACCAAGAACACCCCCCTCACACACACACACACACACACACACAAAGTTACTACTTACCCTGAAACTCTGCACACGTTTCTGCCCTTTGGATTGAGTTCTTGACTGAAAGCTGGACACAAGCATATAAGCAAAAGCACTACAGCCGCTAAAGTGCACTTTAGATCCATGGTAGAAGAAACAGCATCTCTCCATGCGCCTCTTCTGCTCAGCATTCCTTTCTTTTACAATCTCTCGAAGTTCAGATGGGGTATTCTGTATCTCCGGGGTCCCAAAACCTTCGACTTCAAGCGTTTGGAAGTAATTTTATCCGCATAAGTCGTTTATCCACTTTCTTTCAGACTCTAGAGGCTGAGGAAAGAAAAGAGGAGGAGAGGGCGAAGAGAAGTTATAAAACCAAACTGTTATTCCCTCCGTCCAGCACTAGTTCCTGAGGAGAACTTCTGCTTTTATTACGCGCTCCGAGCGTTAGTGGATGTAACTGCTGCATTGCTGGAAACTTCTCCCACTGTGGTATTCCCAAATTTTCCGCTATTGTTTTGCAAAATGCTGATTTTCCAGAGAGAAAATGTGCCTCAAAAAGTGACAGAAAAACTCTGCCAAACTTTATGTGCGTCCATTTTGGAAAATAAACGGGAAAACGGTTCGTTGTTCTCTTTTCAGTAGGGAAATTCCTAATTAGTGATCCTATCTCTGGCTTTGGTTCTTGGGAATTCGGTGCGCCTGCTCTCTTTGGCGTGCAGCGGTTTCCCAAATTCTAACCGAAACCACCCGAACAGCTCCTCATCGAGTGGGTGTGACTATACTATGCTTAGGAGTAAACCATGGAGCCATTCAGCCCCCCTTATTACTGACCCCATCCGCATGCCCGCCGTATTCACGCTGCCAGTCTCGTCGTCTCATTATGCGCACGCGCGCAAAAGTTTACAGGGTTCGAATTATACACTGTCGACCAAATCAAATCCACTTTTTCAGTAATTTTAGTTTGTCTAATATATGCTTCGGTGAACCAAAATTATGTACAGTTGACGTCAGAATTATTTGCCCCCTTCAAAATTTGTTCTTCTTTCTTAAATATTTCTCAAATGATGTTTTACAGAGCAAGAACATTTTCACAGTATGTCTGATAATATTCTTTCTTCTGGATAAAGTCTTATTTGTTTTATTTCGACTAAAATAAAAGCAGTTTTTAATTTCTTAAACACTATTTTAGGGACAAAATTATTAGTCCCTTTAAGCTATTATCTCTCAATAATCTACAAAACAAACCAATGTTATACAATAAATTGCCTAATTACCCTAACCTGCCTAGTTACCCTAATTAACCTAGTTAAGCCTTTAAATGTCACTTTAAGCTGTATAGAAGTGTCTTGAAAAATATCTAGTCAAATATTATTTACTGTCATCATGGCAAAGATTAAAAAAATCAGTTATTAGAGATGAGTTATTAAAACTGCTATGTTCAGAAATATGTTGAAAAAAATCTTCTCTCCATTAAACAGAAATTGGGGAAAAAATAAACAAGCGGTCTAATAATTCAGGGGGACTAATAATTCTGGCTTCAACTGTATCTATTTAAAATATATCTAGAATATTAATAAAACGTAAAAGTGCACCTTTTCTACCCCTACATACAATTCTGTCCAAACAGCTCTCAAAAGATGATTTTCATCATATATGTGAAAAGTGTTTTCAGTGTTTTGAGTGATATTCAGTGTATTCTGACCTACAGTAACCTCTGATTAGCTATTTTAGAAGTTGCATCCAAAAGGCTATTTTAATTAACAAAATGTTTTGTAAAGACACTTAATATGTCAATCAGTCACCTAGATCAGTGGTTCACAAACTTTTTTTTACCAAGTACCACCTCAAAAAAATTGTCTCTCCAAGTACCACCATAATAACCATTGAAATACAGTAGCATATAGACCTAATTATGTATAGCTACAGCTCTGCACAGTTCAAAAACGGCAGATTAATTCTTCTTATTAGGAATATTTATTATTGTCAGCCAATTTAAACGTTAATAATAGTTTGAACATTAACACTGTAGCCCTACTGTGCTTACAGGTAAAAAATAAATAAAACGTTAACGTTTAAATTAAAATATGCTTTTAAAAGTTAAAAATGGCACTGATCCTAAAAAGTGAAAAGAAAACTGCTGTACTTTAATGTAAATTATTATCATATAGCAGCCTATTCATCAAAATCTGGAAATGTTCCTTAAACCGCGTAAATATATGCTTATGTCATCATATTCATGTATAATATTTTTGATGCATTTTTAAAAATACAAATAATAAATATATATATGCAACATATATCTTTGAAATCTAAACATTAACTTTTATTTCAAATATATAAATTTGATTTACATTCCTAAATTAGAATTTAGATCAAAGTGGTTATTTTTTTTTTAGGGGGTCAAGCGCGAAGCGCTGAAACCCTATTGTATTTGTTAAAGTTTTTATTATTATTATTATTATTCTGCCGAAGTCACTATTGCCCAGACCAAACCGTAAGTCCGAGAGAGCTGAAACTTGGCCAGATTGTAGTACTCCGGTACACTACATCCTCACCAAAGATCAGCCAAATCGGACCATAGGTGGCGCTATGGCGCCAAAAACCAATATTTTGGACATTTTTTACCGCTGTTCGTTCACCGTTTGTCGTAGACTCAAAAACTTTACATTTTTTGAATCCTTGGGTTAACCTGAACAAAAGTGTATAGCAGAAATTTTTGCTCTACGACGCACCGTTTTCCCGCTACATCGCGATTTATCCGAAACCTACTTTTACGAACTTGTCCTAGGTTTTTCACTCAATCTAAACCAAACCAGCTCTCAAATGTTCTCTGGACACTGAATATCAATAATTATCAAAAAAAAGTTGACATTTTTATTCTCACTCGAAACAGTACACAACAATGTTCGATGCTAATTGAAGCTAAATGCTAATTGGAGCTATAACTTTTGAACGGAATGAGATATCATCACCAAACTTGGTACACACATGTATATGCTCAATTTGAGGTGACAGTGCAAAAACAGCGGACTTTGGCCACATGGTGGCGCTATAAAGCTTAAAAACCATAAAATGACCCTAACCTTACAACCGTTAGTCCGATCAGCTTGAAATTTGGCATGCAGTGTCTTTGACCAGTTTGCCATGACATATTATAAGGACAATGACACATCTCAAAAAACATGGCCGCCATTAGCCAATTAAAATTGTGCAGCCATTTAGCAAGGTTAACGATGAGCGATCGGAACGAAACTCGCTGGGTATGTTCGACTTATGGACCTAGAGGTCTGTAAGAATTTTGAAAGAAATCGGCCACTAGGGGGCGATTTTACACAATTTTAAGGTGTAATGGGTTGTGTATCACACAACCTTTTGCAAAACCACACAAAATACATATCATATGATAGGCCTGCTCATACCAAACAGTTTGACACTAAAACCACTGCTCTCACTCACACCGTTCGTTAAATATTCATCAATATAGGAAAAACCTACTTTTGCGAACTAGTCCCTGGTTTTTCACTCAATCGCGACGAAACCAGTGTTGTTAGAATCTCTGGACTGTGTAGATCAATAATTATCAAAAAAAAGTTGAACTTTTCACTCTGGCTTGCTGTAACAGGCTAATTTACAAAAGGGGCGTGTCCACACGAACCTACATGCCTGTAAACCAATGAGAAAAACTCAAAACATCACAGAAATTGATGAGCACGTGTGACATATCAATGTGTAGAAACTTGCAAAATTTTGTGAAGATCAAACCATAGGTGGCGCTATAATAGCAAAAATAGTCTTTAAATAATGCTAAATTGCTTAAAAATAAAGTAAATTTGCTTCATTTACACACTATTTCACTAAAAACACTCAATCTATATATCATATGATAGGTCTGCTCATACTGAACAGTTTGAGACTAAAACCACTGCTGTTACTCAAACTGTTCATTAAAAAACCATCAATATAAACAAAACCTACTTTTGCGAACTAGTCCCTGGTTTTTAACTCAATCGCAACGAAACCAGTGTTGTATGAACCTCTGGACTGAGTAGATCAATAATTATCAAAAAAAAAAGTTGAACTTTCCATTTTAGATAGCTGTAACAGGCTCATTAACAAAAGGGGTGTGTCTACACGAACCTACATGCCTGTAAACCAATAAGGAAAACCCAAAACATCACAGAAATTGGTGAGCAGATGTGGCATATCAATGTGAATAAACATGCAAAATCTTGTGGAGATTGGGCTATAGGTGGCGCTATAATAGTGGAAATGGTTCTAAAAACATGCTAAAATGGCTTAAAAATGAAGTAAATGTGCTTCATTTACACACTTATCACTGAAATGATTTATAAGTTATTTTTTTTGTCCATCTTGGATGTTTAAAGATCTCAAAAACACATATTTTCAATATTCTATCATTTTAGCCACTGTAACACAGACTTTTAACTGTCACCTACCATTTCTAACCACTAGATGTCACAACAAGACCACTTATTTATTGTTCAAAACATTTGCATACCTTTGTTGTTTTACTTTTTTTGAGTTTAAAGTCAGGGAAATTGCATTTAGGATCATTCTGAATCACATTTTGACCTGATGTAAACACTGTTATGCATTAAACATCTAATTTGGTCCCAGTTAACCTCTTCATAATAATTCTAATGGGTAAAACTGGTTCTATGATTAAACACCTTGTTTTAAAACATATGTAAAGAAAATCACTACTGTGGCTTCTAGATGGCAGTAACAGACCACTTGATGTTTATTTTACTGCTCTATAACAAAGAATGTAATGTAATGTTAATGATTCATTCTGAATCCCAAACTGACATGGCATAAACACGGTTAATGCATTTAAGATCAAATTTAGTCAAAGCTTTTCACACTTTTTACTCTGTAGACTTTTAATTATTTTAATAAAATACAAATTTTTCATTTTATACAGTTAAAACATGCTCAATTATAGAAGGGATATGTTTATGCACACCTAAAAGGCTGTAATCACATAAATAAATTACACCGTGGCCACTAGATGGCAGTAGGAGATCACTAATAGCTTATTCACTGCTCTTTTGTCATTTTTATTAAGAAGAGCTAAAATAGCCATAACTCATGAAGGAATTAAAATATCTTCACCAAACTTGTTACACATATGCAAGAGGTCAGTCTAAGGTCATAGCATAAAACTCGTAGACAATGGCCACATGATGGCGCTATACATTGTAAAATCACTGTATCTGAGTAACCATTTATCTGATTAACTTACAATTTGACATGTCATGTCTTTGTCTAAGGTGCCATGACTCGATCTACACATTATATCATAGGGCTGCTTATACTGGTCACTTTGACATAAAAGCGGTCACTCAAATTGTTCATTAAAAATTTGCCAATATGTAAAAAACCGAAATAGTTTTTTGGAATGTTTAATTAAACATTTGTTAGCTCAATCTATAAACTTTAACACTCTGATCGTATATTTCGTTGTCGAATAAACTACTTATAGGCGTCCTAACTGCTATATGACCTTACCCTGCTAAACTGCTTGACCCCCGTTAATTGCTGCTTGCAGCTATATTTTTACTTTTATTATTCAGCAATTGCTCCACGTACCACTTGAAGGAAGCCTGCGTACCACTAGTGGTACATTTACCACAGTTTGAGAAACACTGATCTAGATTATTGTGATTAGATTATGCGCTATGAACTGTTGTGGGGTGGTAAAACAAATATTTGTATTTTTTATTATTTAAATTATTAATATTATTATTTAAGATACAGAGCAGAGAAAGCTTTCTCACTATTAATTACCACCCCCCCCCCCCCCCCCATGTCCTTCAGGGGGATTAAGCTTTTATTATCGTACCCTGCTTACATCTCATTAAAGATGAAAGAGCTCTTCCATTCTTTTCATAAAATTCATTAAAAATGAAAATTGTATTCACCATTTACTCACACAAGTCATTCCAAACCTGTTTGATTTAATTTATTCTGCTCAAGACAAAAGATATTTTGAAGAATGTTGGAAACCGGCAGGTGCTGGCATCCATGGAAAAATGCTATAGAGATAATTGGCTATTTTTTTTTTTTTTCATATTCTTAAAAATAGATTGTGTGTGTGTGTGTTTAACAGAAGAAAAAAACTCAGATAAGGTTTGGGAAAAAAGTGTAACGTTAGGAAATTATATTATTTAAATTTTTGCTTGAACTTTTTTTTTTACAAGTTTAATTTTCGGAAGACCCACCCACCCCCCACTGACAAGGTCTAGAATCCGACCTCTATATGATTCAATTTATCTAATTTTTGACTGCTATGCCATCATAAGTTGTGACATATAGAGACAGAAGAAGGCTTTAAGTGGCCAAATTCTGAATTCAAAAGTTGAATGACCACTGGCCAGTTTTTATTTGCCCATATAGGCTACAGTTTATTTTAAAACAAGATTTACCAGATTCATATATTTTTTTTAAATGTTGAATGATAATAAATTTGTATTTAAAAATAAGTATTTTTTTATATTTGTTTATTCATTTTCTTGTTAAACTCAGAACAATATTTATAAAACTGGATTAACTTAGTTTAAATCCAAGTTTGTAAATAAATACTTTGTAGTAAAAAAGTACGGTGAGCACTTTGACAAAATTGTAGGAAATATTTTTGGTGCATCAGCAAAAAGTGTGGCCATTATCACAATCCGAAAAGCTGATCCAGATTAACTCTAAAAAATATCACTTAAATGCATAATTGAATAGAAAACGAGGCGAATAGCAGCAAAAAACTGTCCACTTTTTCAGAAAAAAGAACCACCCGTTTCAGGCTGGCTACAGGCCTGTTATACATGACATCCATATATTTACACCCAGTCTTGTAAAAATGAATTGCTTAAACTATGCAACAGCTCCCTCCACTGTTAACTTAACGAAACATACACAACAAACTTTCACGTCAAGATAAGATAATTAATTTATTTATTATATCTCCTAGATTAGTTAAAAAAACAATAAGGGATAGATTCGTAGAATATGTTATAATTATTTTGGATTTATCACGGATATACATACAGTCCTCGTTTCCTCTTGCTCTATTTGTTTTATTTATTTATGTTTGTTCCTCCCTTTTAACTGTTTTATATGTGTTTATAATATAAATTAACGTGCTCTGTTTACTATCACTGGCATTGTTTCGGTTTAGGTTCGATTTTGTTTGTTATTGAAGCTTCAAATAAAACTAACAACAAAGAGCTAGCTAAACAAGACGAATATCTGTTTTAACCTGGTTAACCACTTCTATGCACTGTATTTGTCCGGTATCACCACATAATTTACGTCGAACTCCATCAAGTAATGCGTACGTTACGAAACCTACGTTTCTCTTACGGAACATATATGCAACGGCATCCCTTTTATGGAATGTCATGCTTGCAGTAAGTTAGTAAACATGAAACGTCACGTGATTTGAACCAATCAGACAACCCAAACTAGAATACGGGGCGGGACTTACAGGTTGCGTTCAATGTGTTCGGTTGGTTTTCAGCACTAGCAGTGGATCATTTTTTATTTTATGAACATTGTCAACATTAGAGTCTCGGGCTGATGTCTCTCCGCAAAACTCTAACGTTACCCAGATTTGGGTTCGCGGCTCGTGACCGAAGTTTTAGAAATTTGGTGACCTCCACTTGTCGCTATCATCAAACCAAAACAAACACACAAGAGGAGTCCGTTAACAGCAGTGAGCATGACTCCTTCAATAGCAAGATCTCCATCGACTTTGAACTGACCAGAGAAGCCTACAAGAGCAAAGACACTCTTGAGCTGCTGAGAAGCTTGGTCGTTTTCAAACTGTGCTCCTATGACATACTGGTCGATAAGAATAAAGAGGTATGTAGTGTGTTTTATGCTCATACGAGTTCAGGCATGCAGCGTTGAAGAAAAAGGAGTCCCTGCCAGCTTGTTTCTGAATGCACTGTATATGACAGACCTGTTTAGAGTTACTCATGTGGCTTTGAAGTGTGTCAGACCAATGACAGGATGGCACCATGCCAGGGAAAAGTCATGTGGTTAGTGAGTGTGTAGAGTTACATGATTCAAGATTACTGGCAGTGGAAGAATGAACCTCAGACATGCAAGCCTGTTTGACCTTTAGGTGACATGAAGGTAGAAACACACATACACACACTCTTTATTAATTAATAACAACAGTAATAGACAGACATAAAAGGGTTTATTGACTTTCAAACAGTTGATGAGAACCAAGACCTGTGAAGAGATGATGCCAATCATCTAGGACTTCGAGAACAACACATACACTTAATACACTTCATTGAACATGTACACACACAGAAATCACCTATATACTCCGTAACTGCAGGTTAATTATGTATATATATATATATATATATATATATATATATATATATATATATATTATACACCACTTTATTGGGTACACCTTACTTGTACCGGGTTGGACCCCTTTTTGTTATCAGAACTGCCTTAATCCTTTGTGGCATTGATTCAACAATGTACTGGAAATATTCCTCAGAGATTTTGGTCCATATTGACATGATAGCATCATGCCTGTCATGTTCAGTAAACCAGTCTGAGATGATTTGCACTTTATGACATGGCACGTTATCCTGTTTCAACCCTCAGAAGATGGGTACACTTTGGTCATAAAGGGATGGACATGGTCAGCAACAATGCTCAGGTAGGCTGTGGCGTTGACACGATGCTCAATTAGTACTAATGGGCGCAAAGTGTGTCAAGAAAATATCCCCCACACCATTACACCATCACCAGCAGCCTGAACTGTTCATACAAGGCAGGATGGATCCATGCTGTCATGTTGTTGATGCCAAATTCTGACCCTACCATCCGAATGTTGCATCAGAAATCGAGACTCATCAGATCAGGCAACGTTTTTCCAATCTTCTATTATCCAATTTTGGTGAGCCTGTGTAAATTGTAGCCTCAGTTTCTTGTTCTTAGCTGACAGGAGTGGCACACGGTGTGGTCTTCTGCTGCTGTAGCCCATCCGCCTCAAGGTTGGACATGTTGTGTGTTCAGATGTGCTCTTCGGCATATCTCGGTTGTAGCTGTAGTTATTTAAGTTACTGTTGCCTTTCTATCAGCTGGAACCAGTCTGGCCATCCTCCTCTGAGCTTTGGCATCAACAAGGCATTTGTGCCCACATAACTGCTACTCACTGGATATTTTCTTTTTTTCGGACCATTCTCTGTAAACCCTAGAGATGGTTGTGTGTGAAAATACCAGTAGATCAGCAGTTTCTGAAATACTCAGACCAGCCCGTCTGGCATCAACAACCATGCCACATTCAAAGTCACTTAAATGCCCTTTCTTTCTCATTCTGATGCTCGGTTTGAACTGCAGCAGATTGTCTTGACCATGTCTACAGGCCAAATGCATTGAGTTGCTGCCATGTGATTGGCTGGTTAGAAATTTGCATTGATGAGCAGTTGGACAGGTGTACCTAATAAAGCGGCCGGCGAGTGTACGTTTTAGAGTTACTAGTTAATTAGTTAAAGTTATTAGCAACTAATAAATTTATGGTAACTAATAACCTTAACTTTTTTAAATTTGGTTGCAATACAATAATGTGCACCTTTTGCATAGCTGCTTTGAAACTATAATTATTATGAAAAGTGCTATACAAATAAACTTGAATTGAATTTATTAAACAATCTTTACAGATTATCTACAGACCCTCAAATATAATTATTCTTATGCATGGGACCCCATTTAAACATGTAAAGGCATCTACAGTATACATTTTCTTGCACAAAGACCAGATTTGAACAGTGAAAATGTGTATAATCTTAAAAAGGCCTGAAATATGTTTTAGATATTTAGTCTTTTAAGATGCATCAATGCATTTCGAGCCATTTTTCGTAATGTACTTATTTCTTTATTTACTTATTTAAATATTTTTGATTATTAATGTTGATATCATTTGTATGTATTTGTCTAATCTAAAGTTGATTAATTTGCTTAAATTAGTTTTGTTTTATTTATTATGTTTTATTTATTTGAGGATTTTTTCTGCATTTATTGCTTAGACTTAATTAAAATGTAGCCTATACATAATTTTAATCTAATGTTTTGTCTTGCTAATTTATTCAACATGTATTTATTTGAATGCAATTTGATTTATGTATTTTTTTTAAGGTTTTCTAATCTGTTTTATTAATTAAATAATTAGTTTGTTACCTTTTTTTCCCAAACATTTCCATGGACCCACTAGGATTCACCTGGGCTCAGTTCTAGCAAACATCATGTCCATCTCTGAGAGTTTTGCAAAAGAAAAAAAAATCTCATTTGCAGTTAATAAATATTGTTCAATATGATTTAAGATCATACTTTTACATGTACAGTAGGTTAGAATCATTAGCCCTGCTAAATTATTAGCCCCCCTTTATATTATATTTCACCCTGATTTCTGTTTTACAGAAAGATTTTTTTCAACACATGTATAAACATAATAGTTTTTTAACAACTAATTTTTAATAGCTGATTTATTTTATCCTGTTTATTTGTTGCCATGTTGACAGTAAATAATACTTTACTAGACATTTTTTCAGAATACTAGTATTCAGCTTAAAGTGACATTTAAAAGCTTAATTAGGCATGTTAGCGTAATAGGCACATTATTGTATAATGATTGTTTGTTCTACAGACAATCAATAAAAAAATATTGCTTAAGATGGCTAATAACATTGACCTTAAAATGGTTATAAAATTTTAAACTACATTTATTTATGCCGAAATAAAACAAGAAAGACCTTCTCTAGAAGAAAAAATATTATCAGTGATACTATTAAAAAATGTCTTGCTTCGTTAAACATTGTTTGGGAAATATTTGTAAAATGGGAAATAAATCAGAGGAGGTTTAATAATGTTGACTTTAAATGTATGTTTGGTAAGCACTTTTGTTCTTGTCACCTCTAGATAATAGACCTCAGCAGGAAGCTCTTGGGCCAGAAAATGTTTGAGCAGTTTATGAAGATGACGTTCTACGGTCAGTTTGTGGCAGGCGAGGACCATCAGTCCATCAGGCCGGTCGTACAGAAGAACCAGGCGTATGGAGTGGGAGCTGTGCTGGATTACAGTGTAGAAGAGGATCTCTCACAGGAAGAGGCTGAAAGGAAAGAAATGGAGTAAGTTTTGATGTAAACAAGATCAAACGACCAGGTTTCAAATAATATTAACCCAAAAACTTTAATTCTGTCATTGTTTATTCGCTCTATACTTGTTCCAAGTCTATTAGTGTTTTTCTTTTCTTCTGTTGAACACAAAATATGATGTTTTGAAGAGTGCTGAAAACTTTTAACCATTAACTTCAATTATATTTGCAATTCTTTGCATGGATGCTGTTGCACACTGGTATTTAAAAAATCTAAATACATACATATTTACATATAAATTATGTAAATTATATTAGATTTTTTTAGGAGATTGTTGTTGAAGATTGTTGTTCTGCTAATTATTTCAAAGGGTTAACCTGTTTTGTCTGTTGAACACAAAAAAAATATATTTCGAAGAATGCTGAAAACCTGTAACCATTGACTTGCATTTTATTTGCTTTTCTTAGCATGGAAGTTGATGTTGTAAAAATGAGGAAAAAAGTTTACCTGGTCATTTCAAACCTGTTTGAGTTTCTCTTTCTTCTGTTGAACACAAGTAGATATTTTGAGGAATGCTGAACACCTGTATCCATTGACCTCATTTTATTTGCTTTTCCTAGCATGGATTTTGTAATTGTAATCATTTACAATAAAACATTAAATTATTAAATTATTTAAATTATTTCATCTTGATAGTAGAATGTTGTTCAAGATGTTCAGTTGATTATCTTAAAGGCATAGTTCACCTCAAAATGAAAAAAATAAATTAAATTACTCGTTTCGAACCTGTTTGATTTTCTTTCTTCTGTTGAACACGCACACTAAAAAAGATATATAAAAATATATTGGAGACTTGTAACCATTCACTTCCATAGTATTTGTCTTTCCTACTGAAGATGTTTACAGTTTTTCAGCTTTCTTCCAAACATCTTCTTTTCAGAGATACTCTAAAGATTTTGAAGGACTCGATGGGAGAGTAAATTGTCTTTTTTGGGTGATCTATCCCTTTAATTCGTTTTCTGGCATTTATTTGCAGAGCACACAAGCCAAACTTGACTAATTAATGGGCAAATAAATAAATCAGTGATCAGTGTGTGAGTGGAATATAAATGTGTGCAATTATTTTGTTCCATAGCACTTGATTAGCTTAATTTAAAGCAGCTTGTTAAGTTTTTTTTTCTTTGTTGGTATTTACTGTTTTCCAGTTTTTTTTTTGGGGGGGGGGGGGGCAATCATTAAAGTTTATTTTTCCATTTAAAGGGGACCTATTAAGCACACATCACCTTTATATGGGGTTTAAACATTTCTGTGGCAGCAGTCTGTGAATATGACCAGCTTCTTTTAGTAAAAATGTATTGATTTTATTTTTTTAAATTACACTTGATAAAAACAGAAGCAGAAACACTTTGATTGACATTCTCCTTTTTGTACATGTGATCAGAGGGGGAATGCCCCGCCCATAAGTGACAATCTCTCCCTCATTAGCATATAGTATGTTAATCTTATTTTTGAATCTGCCACTATACTGACACACAGGCATTTGTTGCTCCGCCCTCTTTTGAAAAGAGCATAATCTCATTTGAATTTAAAGCGACAGCCACAAAAACAGCACAATTACACTCTAAGCCAGTAGTCACCAAACTTGTTCCTGGAGGGCCGGTGCCCTAAAGATTTTAGCTCCAACCCTAATCAAACACACCTGAACAAGGTAATCAAGGTCTTACTAGGTATACTTAAAACATCCAGGCAGGTGTTTTGAGGCAAGTTGGAGCTAAACCCTGAAGGGACACCGGCCCTCCAGGACCGAGATTGGTGACCCCTGCTCTAAGCCCTTACAGGTTGATTGAAACTCGTTGCCCTGAAAAAGCTAATTTCGTCTTGTTGAAAAAACAGTACTTTTTAAGTTTACTTAAATTATACTTTTTAACAGTAACGTGTGAAAAATGAACATGAACCTAATGTTAGACACATCTTAGTCTTACATTAATCTTAATCTAGTTTTCTTGCTAACTGTTACATATTTGGTTTATTAAAGGAAAACAATGTATGGCTGTTTGAGACAAAAGTATGAAATCGTGCTCATATTGACTAGCAGACATAGAAATATATCCTGTTTATATGTACTGTATCCACCAGTGACATCAGTTCAAAAAGCCAATCACGTTTCCTTGCACATTGTCCCTTTGATAACTGAGTAGAATAAGCTCTGGTAAGTACTGTACATTCACTTTAAACATTCCAATGGAATAAAAAATATCCTGCAAATCATACAACAAACCAAACAAATGGAGTAATTGAGCAAAAACTTTGGTATTTATGTTTATAGAATCTAAGTATTTTGAATTAATATAACTTTAGGTATAACAGTGTAGGATCAAATCCTAAAAGGGTCAATTTCAAAGAGTTATAAAACATCATTTGTGGGATATTTTGAGCTGAAACTTCACATACACACTCTTGGGACTTCAGATACTTATTTTACATCTGTTAAAAAGAGGCATAATAGGGCGCTTTTAAAGTACTGTGACATTAAAATAAAGCTTTTTAGGTTAGTCTTGAGCACATTTTTATAAGATTGTGTGCCCCAAAACATTGACAAACTATGCATTTAGTAAATATAAACATGATTAACATCCAAAGTAGGGCTACACGATTCTGGCTAAAATGAGATTTATTTATTTATTTATTTTTTTAATAAAGATCATGACTTTCTCATGATTCTGTAGATGTAAAATAAAGGTTCATATGAGTAGACTATTATTATTATTGTTATTTCTCAAACATATGGTAAAGTAACACTAATAGGCCTATGTGCAGTTTTACTCTTGGTTAAAATGCTAAATTTTGTTTAAAATTGTGGATTTAAACAGAGTTTAAATTTGTCCTGGTTGTTAATTTACGGTAAAGTGATGACATCAGAATACAACTATTCATAATCCTAAAGTTGAATTATTATGTTTGAGACATATGCTTGTCATTTGTAATTGACAACATTATTAGACTCTTTTATTTCACTGGTAAAATGAAACATTTGTCATTATCAGATTCCCTCTTGTATTATAGTCAACATTATATAGGCTAGTGCAGGGATCACCAAACTTGTTTCTAAAGGTTCGGTGTCCTGCAGATTTTAGCGTGAACCCTAATCAAACACCTGAACAAGCTAATCAAGGTCTTACTGGGTATACTTGAATCACCCAGGCAGGTTGTAAGGCTCTCCAACAACAGGCTGATAGGCATGCAAGGTCAAAAAACACTTTCATGGTCTTTTAATATGTATTTATTTTTACCTAATTATCCCAGCGACTCTCATATGATTCGTTCAGCGATTCATTTGTTCCCAAACCCCTCCTTAGCACGAAGCTAACTGCTCTGATTGGACCGATGACAGCCTGTTGCGATTGTTCAACACTGACAGCCTTCAGCGCGAGACAGAGTGAAATGCCCAGCACAGCTTATCAACAATATTGAAGTAGTCAGAGTGCATAGTGCATGTGTGAGCATACCTGCCAACACTCCTGTTTTTCCCGGGAGTCTCCCGTATTTCAAACCCATCTCCAGCCACCCACCCATTTGTTATTTATCCGGAAAACTCCTGTAATTTCCTGTAATTTTAAATCTGTAAACAAATCGGCACGCGATGCGTTTTCAACGTGGCATTAGATGCGATATGAGAATATAAAGAGTTAACCAGAGACGGTACAAGCCACATGGAGTGGTTACAAGTAACAAAACACAATTAAATACATAATTCGCAAGCTAGAGAAAACAAGGAGGCAACAATTTTAATTGCACTTACTTACACTTGTGAAACGGAGGAAGAAACTGATTCATGTTCTGACAGTCCCTTACATCAATAGTCTTTTCTGATCCTTCCTTTTACAAACGGCCGATGAGTTCTCTGGTGTAAACGCGTAGATTCCAGGAGCACTCGGATAGCACAAGGCTGGGCTATAATGCCAAGGTATTTTTACAAAAATAAACCTCAACCACTGACTCTTCACAGTTTCATCTTTGGGTAGAGAAAATAGCTCTAACTTTAACCTTCACTTCCAATAATATCTATATTATACTATGATTCAACCGGTGTCTGCTACAGTGTGTGTCTAGCCTCTTTTTCTTTGTGTACTTTGCTTGTGTGCAGGACTACAGGTTTCAATTTTCCTGGGTTTACACGCGCAACAACTGAGGGGGCTAAAGTTTTGTATCCACGTCACGCCGATACGGCTAAAGAGTCGTTATCAAGACGATTCATTTGAAGCACTATGGGTCAACTCTATAAATGAATCAATAGTTTTAAACACTGTGCACTTTCAGATTTAAGCCTTAGCTGGATATTTCACTTCACTTAGAGCTGTGTTACACACTACATTGAATGTCATTCTCATAAACCGTAATAGTGGCTCTTTAATCACTGTTTAAAATTCCATGCCTCAGCAGTGAAATTGAACTGAACTAAATGGAACTTCAACTCTGAAAACTGGACTGACACAGTTTCAATTTATTAGAACTTCATCTTTGCTAAGCTGCTTTGACAATCTACATTGTTAATGCGCTATAGAAATAAAAATTAATTTAATTGACATCCATCGTATGTCTCTATGGAATTAATGGCTACCGGCTTCTAACATTCTTCAAAATACCTTCTTTTGTATTCAGCAGAAAAAATAAGCTTAAACAGATTTGAAATGGTATAGGGTGAGAACATTATGACAGACATTTCATTGTTTTGTTTTAGAAACTTTCCTCCTTATAGGCTGGCCTAGTTTGCATTGGAAATCTATTGGTCTGAATGAGACTTTAAGACCTGCTTTTTGTCAAACTAACTACTTTTCAGCAGAGGGGCTAGAGGTTAATAGCCATGCTGTGATTTGTGCTCGTACGAGCCCACGGAAATAGACTGAGATTTGATCTGCTGTCACAGACGTAAACAAAGACACAAGATCCTATTGGTTGTTTTGGTCGAGGCCCATTGTTTCTGATTGGCTTTTATCGAGGTTGTGAACATGCTCACTGTTTAGGAATTTTGCCTTGCGGTACACACAAATAGCGAGCTGCTTTCTGTTTCCACAAGAGCAGATGTTTATACAGTGTTGAGATGACAGTGGGATTATTTACGCTTCAGACCTTGCCTTTTTTAAGGCATGCATCAGATCTACTGCATTAGAGATCTGAAGAAACCCCTATCAGGCTTTATAATATCAGGGGAAAAAGTTTTTTTGTTTTGTTTTGTTTACTGCCATTTTGATCAAAATATATCTGAAAACTTTGCTTCAAAAGGAAACGTTATAAACAAAAAAAACATACTTTTTCAGAATACTTAATTTGACATTAATAACTAAAAACAACATAAAAATAAAATAAAACAAATCAACCGCGGCACAGCAAGAACCTTGCCTCACAGCAAAAAGGTCACTGGTTCGAGTCCTGACTGGGCCAGTTGGCATTTTTGTTTGGACTTTGCATGTTCTCATGTTGGCGTGGGTTTCCACTGGGTGCTGCGGTTTCCCCCACAAGTCAAAAGACGTACGCTATAGGTGAATTGAATAAACTAAATTGGCCGTAGTGCAGCTGGAAGAGCATCTGCTGCGTAAAACATATGCTGGATAAGTTGGCGGTTCATTCTGCTGTGGCGACCCCTGATGAATAAAGGTGCTAAGCTAAGGAAAATGAATGGATAAAACAAATTAAATTTCAGACTCAGACAGACTTAACTTTACTATCCCATTTAGGGTAACTAAAGTTGCAGCAAAGTGCCATAACACAGGCCACATTTTACCTAGTTTTTACCATAAAACATACAATAAATCAATTTCCAGAAACATTTCCTTCCCTTCAGACCCGAATTAGACACAACTCTCAGTCTCAACTTTATTATCCCCTTTAGGAAAACTAAAATTGCAGCAAGGTACCGTAACACAGACGAAGTTCCATGTACACATTAATAAAATATTACCCCACAACATACAATACATCATATTATAGGTGCATCTCCCTCTCCCCTGGACTCATTTAATGACATTCTTTGAAATTTGCACACTACCTAACCTTATATATTATGTTTACCCTAATATTGAAGATTATTATATTATATTATTACTGTTATAGTATTTTTTTTAATTATTAGAATTTTTCAATGTGCTTTTTTATGGTCACAGAATTTAAAACATTTCCCCCTTTTTTTGATAATTAAGTGAAAAAATCCTGATTGCAACTGTGATTTTTATACTAGTATGCAGTCATCTAACCATACCTTAGCAACCACCCAGTACATTTTCATTCATTCATTCATTCATTCATTCATTCATTCATTCATTCATTCATTCATTCCTTCGGCTTAGTTCCTTATTTTTCAGGGGTCGCCACAGTGGACTGAACTGCCAACTATTCCAGCATATATTTTATACAACGGATGCCCTTTCCAACCCAGTACTAGAAAATACCCATACACACTCATTCACACACACTCATACACTATTTATACACCTATAGCGCTTGTCCTTAGACTGTTGAGGAAGCCGGAGCACCCGGAGGAAACCCACACGAACACCAGGACCGAACCAGCAACCTTCTTGCTCTGAGGCTACAGTGCTGACCGCTGAGCCACTGTGCTGCCCATTAGATTTCAGCAGCATTTGGATTTCATTTTTTTTTTTTTTTTTTTGAAAAGTGCTAACAGTAATGATTTTTTTCTCCCCTGTATGTTTCCTGCTTGTCAGCACTATTTACACCTATTTTTTAACAAATAGCAGTCACATTTAATTACACGCAGCAACTTGTAAATAAACTTATTACAGTGGCGGTCTGAGATACTTAGAAATCCTGTCTGAATCTCTCTTTAGAGTTTCATTCTTAATATTTCAGAAAGTAACTCTTTGTCATTCATTCTGACCTAAAACCGAACTTGTGACCTTTCTATTATCAGCGCAGCTTCTTAACCATTAGCTTCACCTTCATTTCAACAGCTGTGTCAACGTTATGACATTTGATTTTAAAAAAAGTCTTCATTTGTTCATGTCATTGACCTTTTGGAAATTACAGAGTGTCAAAGCCATACTCGAGGGTCTCCTGCTGGAAATGTAAATGAAATGTACTTGCCTGGAAACCCAGCGAAATATAGTGGGTGGAAATATAAATGACGCCATCTGGATTGTGTGGAAGAGCCCGTGATACGAAGACAATCCCGTAATATCTGTTTGCTTGACAGGCAGTTAAGTTAATGTTAGAAAAATAAGTTAATTGTATTATTAATTGAATTTATGTCATGTAAATATATGCAGTTATGGGAAAAATAAATTTACAGCTTTGCAGAAAACCTATTAATTATTTATTCGTTACAAACTATGACATTTCAGATAAGGCAAGGCAGGTTTATCAAAGAATAATAAAATATTCTCACAATAAATACAAGAAATAAAATCAACAAAGAATTAAATAGTTTAACGAGACTCTATTATGCATTAAAAAGGTAATATTTTGGTTTTTGGGTCTCCAACAACAGGCTGATATGCTGAAGTCAAAAACACTTTCATTGTCTTATAATATGCATTTGTTTTTACCTAATTATCAAAACTACTCCCATATGATTCGTTCAGAGATTAATTTCTTCCCAAACTCCTTCTTTAACTGGTTTGATGACGACTGAGAGCAACGACAAATAGCAAAGGATCGCATTTAAATCGGTCACAAACGTAACCCACAAAAATGGTAAAGAAAGACACGCATCACATTTTCAATGTGGCTTTAGACCAGGGATCACCAATCTCATTCCTGAAGGTCAGTGTTTAGCTCCAACTTGCCTCAACACACCTGCCTGGGTGATTTAAGTATACCTAGTAAGACCTTGATTAGCTTGTTCAGGTGTGTTTGATTAGGGTTGGAGCTAAATTCTGCAGGACACCGGACCTCCAGGAACAAGTTTGGTGATCCCTGCTTGAGATGCAATTTGTAAATATAAAGACTTAACTAGATACAGTACTAGACACGTGGAGCGATTACAAGTAACAAAACACAATTAACTACATATTTTGCAAGCTAGAGAAAACATTGAGGCAACCATTTTAATTGCACTTACACTTATGAAATGGAGGAAAAAACTCATCCATGATCTGTGTACTGATAAAGTTCCTATCAAGCTCTAAAAAAAGGCCCGTCTATCAATAGTCTTTCTGATCCTTCCTTTTACAAACAGCCGACGAATCCCGTATTACAGGGTATTATTGCATTAATCACCAGAACGTTCACTGATCTTCAGTCATCATCAGTTCTACATACACCTGCTAGTCTTTGAAAGGGTAAGGCGCCCTCAAGTTTTACCAGATCTAACACTTCATATTTGGTATTGTTTTGTGTCAATGTTGATATGAACAGGCTAAAGATCAGGACGAAAAACAAATTATATAAATCAACTTGCTTATTAAAAATTCGGTACTTTTAAACATGCTGCACTTTCAGATTGATATCTCAGCTGGATCTTTTCATTCACTTAGAGCGGTGTTACACTGCATGGAAGGTCATTTTCAAAAACTCATGAAAGGGGCTATTTA